TTTTTTTCACTGTGTGTGTGTTTGTGGGCAAATATGCTTGACAAAATCAAAACGTTTGTCTCTCGTCAGGCGGGACAAAAGGCTGGGAATGCTCTCTCAACCTCCGTAAATTCTCCACCGAGTCTCAAGGAAGCCTTTAATCAGGCAGTGAAGATGACGAGCAAACTGTTTGACGAGCGAGAATGGCAGTGCCCGTGTGGACACAAGTTCCGTGCCTCCGGTGAGTGGGTGGCGACTCTTCCCATCTACTGTGAAGTTCCCTCCTGTCCTAATCCCAAGTACTACGTGGACGGCCCGGGAAGAGCTTTACTGGAGGCCAATCCCTCCGGAGTGAAGCTCCAAGAAGTGAAGACAGACCCTCAACTGCCTCCCTCATCCCGGGGTGTTGGCTCGCGCTTCGGCAACCGTTCAAAGTGAAGTTTTTTTATTTTTGTTATTTTGGATTTCATCAGATAATAACTGATAATAAGGGGTTTCTCTGGAAATGGACATTTTGGCAAATGTCAATGGAGCAAAAATAAAAAAAAATAAACATACAGGTATGTCTTAATATATTTATTTTGCTTCTTTTGATATCCATAAAGTGTTTTTACAGAGAATTCAGTGAGGTAGAACTGTATATATATATATATTTGTTGTTGTTCTTGTATACTGAGGAGAGCATCTTCCGAGCTTCCTCTCTTTTTTTCGTAATGTTAGCGCTGATGTATTAGGACGTATAGGTTTCTGAAAAAAAACAAATACGTGACATGGATGAATCCTGCTGTGTCTTTTTTGGACACACTCATGGTTTTGGATAAGAACCCTATAAAGATTGTTTGGGAGAAAGCACACCTGAGAGGATGTTTTTTTTTTTCGTTTTTCATAATGTGATACTACTACTTATAGGGGTGGTTCGTAACTTAAAGCCGTTTATTTTAATATCAGCGATATATTCCCTGTATTGTATTGCTTTATGAAGAGAGAGAGAGAGAGAGAGAGAGAGAGAGAGAAAGAAAGAGAGAGAGAGATCGGTGTTGTGATAAGATTGCATCTCTTAGTCAATATCTGATGGATGAGGTCTTTTATGAGAAGCATTGAGGGATAGAGCCCATTTTTCCTTTTTTTTTTTCTTTGGATGACAGAAACTCAAGAAATACTTTTTTTTTTTTTTCTTCTTCGACTTGCAATGCTCTTCTTTTTCTGTAGCCATCACATCTTTTTTTTTTCCCTTTCTGTTCCCTTTATTCGGCTCCTAATATTCTCTGTGTACAAATGTTTGATGTATGTATCTTTCAGAAAATTATCGATACCTCTTCCTCTTTTTTTTTTTTTTTGTAATTTTGCATTACTTGTATAAGGACTATCTAAAGGGTAATGAAATCTTGTGAGGTTTCAGCTGAGCTTTACTATCGTTCCTTTCTTAAACACTGTTTTTATGATGTTGAAAAGCTCAATATCAATCATTTGTTAAATGAATACTCGTCATCCATTTTGAAATCTTCTTCTAGACGCTCATTAATTGAGCGATGTGATGTGATTCGTAGTGAGACGCGAAATTTATTGAAGGTGTTGCAAATTATCGTTATTCACAACACAGGATCAACTCCAGGAGTAGCTGTACTTGTTCATGATGTAAGTAAAGATGAGGTGTATTGCTCTCTGCATTTACATGACGTTTCTGAAAGCGATGATCGAAACTCTTCTGTTTCTACAGGATTACGAGATAATAGACATTTTACTATAGTACTCCCAGAATGTAATATAGATTTAAAAATGATTACTTTCGAGAATTTGTTGTTTTTCTGCCAGTCTAGCAGTTCATCAGGTTTTGTATTACTTATGGATATAAGTGCGGTGACGAACTCTTCGGAACTATTGACACCTTGTCCAGTATTGGAAGATTTTTCTTTTTTAACGTGTTCTGCATATTATGATGATTCTCATCACTCTGTCTTATTTTCTTTTTTGGACACTCATAAACTGTTTTCACTTACAATACCGGTTGATTTTTACAGACGAAGGGAAGGTATAAGTACTATTAGAGTACTATACCTCTCTCTACCACAAGGTTCTCTCCACTTCCATGTGGATCGTGATCTTATTATCGTTTGCCCGTCATTAAAAAAAGAGACAAATTGGTTAAGTCTTTTTTTTATGAAAGAAGAACCAGTTTGTAAATACGATATGAAAGCCAGAGTATGTCTTTATTATTCTATCGTTGTGGGTAGTCATCACTACCTTGTTTTGCTTGCTATGGAAGATGGAAGTGTACAAACATTTCAATTTCGATCTAAAACTATTGTAAAGGGTGGGTTAACAAAAGTTTTTGAAGGTGATATCCTTCACAAAGAGGCGCAAGAATTTGTACCAATGGGAGGGGATAAAATTGCCCTTATTACCAAATATCAATGTGCCCTTCTTAGTATTGTTGATACCACACTGACTGGAGTTGTTTCAGTATTATCTATTTATTCTTCTTCAGAAATTTCTAATATGACTATACTGAAACTTCAATTTCCCTATGAATTACAGGGGAATTTTCCTTTTGTACTACTCGTGAGTACTCTTGGATATGCTGGAGTTCGAATATATTCTTTTCAACATATGAAGACTCTATGTGTGAATGTTGATGCTTCTCCATCAGGAATAAGTTCTGTCATTTCTGATGATGAGTTAGAATTAACAACGGCTGATCTTGTGAATAATAAGGGCGGTCGAGTTACAGGATTATTTTCTCATATTAAATCCATTTTTCAACGGGGAAAAACCGAGCGTCGCAGTGGTTACTTTGAGCCAAATATTAAGAATGAAGATGCCATTTTAACCCTGTGTCAGGGATTTGGCGAACTTTCAATTGATAAACTCTCTCCACCGTATCAACTTATTGCTTTGGACTCTCGTGTTCGGGGTTTTCTTGTCTGTGTTTCAACTAAAAACACTAATCATTGCTATCTCTTAAGGGATTATGCACTGCACCACGCGTTGCGACAGTTGTGGATGGTTCTCGGTGATGGCTAGAAAAAAAAAAGAGAAGAAAGAAAAAATACAAAAGTTTTTAAAACTCTGCTTTGCATTTATATATAGATATACTCTTTTTTTCTTTCTTTGTTTGGTTACCTCTCTGTATATATATATTATAACTGTTCCTACACGCACAATTTGTTCCCATCTCTCATTTTATTTTTCCCCTTTCTTCTTCATATATATATATATATATATTAGTCGTGCTAGCTGGTTGTGCCTGTGGCTCAGTCAATGTCGGGGCATGAGGGTTCTGTCAATGAGGCGGACGCGTCAACGCTGCAGCACATCAGCGCCAAAGTGGATGCTCTGCTGATGCTCTGCGAGACCGACAGCGAGTTGCGCAATTATTCCCTCAAGTTCAAACTCGAACAGGCCGTTGATAAAACGGCGTTCGAAGCAAAGCGCGAGGCAGGCGAGGAGATGCTGCACTTCCGCAGAGTACTGCAGCGCATGGCGGACCTTGCCCTGCACGTCGCACCACACATACTGCGCCGTGTGCGGAAGTATGTAAAGAGTAAACATACATCACATAATGGTGAGGTTTCGTCTGAGAAAACGAATACAGATACACTTCATGCAAATTCTAATAGCCTTCAGCGTAGTAGTAGTGTGGAAGAGTTCTGCGATGGCTCAGAGGCATGGTTGGAGAGTGGAGCCCATTTGTCTTATACCGCCGTAGAGTTGCTTTGTCTCATATTGGTAAGCCATCCACGGCTTGTAAAATATCTACAAATGTACTTGTTCGAGTGCCGAGTATTGGAATATATTGAAGATGCATTAAGTATTTCACGAGAGCAAGAAATTACGTTTTTTCAAGAGGGATACAGAACAGAACATATACGACTTTTAGCAAATCTTACTCTTGATAATGAAAAAGTATGTTCCACCATAGTTAGTAATTCTGCAATTCTCTCAGCAATTCTCACGGGTACTCGATTTGACGAGGAAAATCCCGGTATGGTCCAGTGGGCTGAATTCACTATCCGTAATCTCTGTTGCTGCATAAGTGAAGCACGTGAAATTATACGTCAACTTACACCTATCAGTATATCGGATGAAAGCAAAGAATTACTTGCTGGTAAGGTTGACTGTCATATTAATCACGCTGGCAAAGTAGTTATTGGTAAACCGTCCCATGCATCGACAGAATAGTAGTGTTGGTACTCCGTGTGAAAAAAAAAAAAAAAGAAATTCATTTATTTCTCTCCACGGGAATTATCATTTTTTTTTTTTTTTTTTACCGGTGTACTTTGATGTCTTGGTCCTCTTCTCTGGTGGGAAACCCTTGGGTTCATCAGTTCTCCCGTAAAGGGTTTTTTGTTTGTTTGTTTCTGCAGCACCACAGCTTCATGTTTTTGTTTTTGTTTTGTTTTCCGTTTTGTTTTTTTCTTTTTCTTTTTCTGTTTGAGAGCTTGCGAGAGAGATTGTTCTAGCCCTATGTGTGTTTAGTAAAAGAATGGCACGGTATGATCTTTTTTTTTTTTTCAATCTATCACTATAAGGTTTCGTCGTAAATTGTGGTAGGCTTTTGAAGGTCCATCCAGGAGTTTCCTCATTGTCCCTATGTGGAAGGCATTCTTTAAAGGCGCCTTTTGTACCTTCTTTTCGTTAGTGCTTAGTGGTGATAGAAAATGAAAATAAAAAAAGATTATGATGGTTTCACAGTGGTGCTTGATTTTTTTTTTTTGTTTTGATATATTTGGGCCAACAAAAGCAAGACTTGTGAAAAGAGAAAATGTTTTTCCTTATCCCTTCTCATTTTTTCTCTTAAGCAAATATATATATATATATATATATATATTATATATATATCATATATTATATATTATATATTATATATATACATATATAATAAGGTTTAGATTAATTTCTCTCTATTTCTCTATTGTTTTTATTCTCATACTTTCATTCTTACCTTCTGTTATTACAATTGCTTTTTGCTTTTTTTCTTTTTTTTTTCCTTTTAGCTTTAGTACATAAATGCCTCCAAAGATGACTCCGGCGCAGCGTCACCGATCACACATCCTCGCTTCCAGCGTAGAGGCACAAGAGGCTGCGATCATGGAATGGCGGGCAAAATCACAGGAGGATGAAAAGACATTGCGTTGTATCTCTTCAAAGATAAAGGGGCATAAAAAGTCTGTGGAAAAGACAAGACGTGGCGGTCGCTGGCTGGCTGAACATAATTCTCTTAACCGAGAAGCAATTTCATGTGAGTTGGATTTTGAGAAGGCATGGACTTCTTGTGCTGCTCTGTTGCCAGAGGTACTCTCAAGGGAGCGGGATGGGCAAGAGTATCGATATGCGGAGCTCCTAAAAATGTTAGGAACACCTATTCTGAATCTACGTAAGCAATTACACAGTTTATCTCAAGAAAAGGGCAATCATATATTTGAGGATTTAGAGACAATGCGAAAAGAATTATTAGCACTACGAGATCATTTCTCTGAGGCCAAAAAAATGGTGGATGCTGAAGCAGAAGATTTGCTTCAGAGACAAGGGACGGAGGAAGAAGGTGAGGAAATGAGTCAAGAAATGCCTTTGGAGGTTTTTCATAAAGAGGTTCAATCCACCATGGACACCTTTGAAAGTCTCTGTGCTGAGAAGTGTGGGAATGAACATAAGGATTTGATAGAAACATACCGAACTGCCATTGAAACGGAAGTAGAAAATGCCAAATCTCAGTTACTTCGTATTAAAGGGGCAAGTACTGCAAATATCTTTCCAACGGGAGATCTTCGTACAGTCTCTTTGATAATGAAAACGTTTAATAGTGTGCCTGAAACTGGAGGAGAGACATCAACCGTTTCCGAAGATCTTTATAATAACATTCATCAAATTCTTCCCCATCTCCCTCGCACATCCCTGCGGCTTGTTGTGGACGAGGTCCTACGGCAAAAGCGGGAACGCGTACAAGTGCGGTCTATCATGCTTTACTACAGACGGAAGATATCTGAACTGCTTGAGTCTTTTGAGAAGGCTATTGCCGCAGAGGAGGAAATTGTGAAGTTGCAGGTTTCTATTCAAGAAGAAAGTAGATTACGTGGGGAACGTCAACAAAAGACACATGAGGAGTTGGCTCGACTCCGCGCCTTACGTGAGGAAAGAGATGCCATTCGTCGTAATGAAGAAGAGGCGAAGAGAATGGAAGAAGAGAAAAAACAACAAGAAATACTTCGTATTCGTGAAGCTGAATTTCAAGAACGTCTGAAACGATTGCAGTTATATCAAGAACAACAAAAACTTCTTCAGGAAAAAGAACGAGCCGTTCAACAGGCAGCGGCAGAAGAAGAAGAACTAAAAAAGATGATGCAGAGGGAACATAACGCCAAACGTGTAGAGGAAAGACGCCTGGAATATGAGGAAAAATGTCGTCAGCGGAAGAAACATCAACAAGAAGTAGAGGAACTTAAAGCAGCTCGTGAGAAAAACCTCGAGAATTTCTTTAAGGGAGTTGAACGACGATTAGGCGTTACATCTGATCCGGAAAGAGTCCTGCAGGGAACTGTTTCGAGTCAACAGAGTGTTCCTTTTGTTTCTTCTTCACAGGCGGCTAAAGTTACAGTTAATGGATACACAATGAATGATGTGATGAGGGACCCACGGTTTCGCCTTCAAATCGCATTGATGGAAGCAGGATTACACCAAACTCCTTACGGGAGAGAAGTTATGTGCAGAGGCTTTCACGTACCAGCAGCACAGCGACCTAGTGATGAAAATCCATTCCGCATGAAGTATTAAACGTTCGATTCAGAATATCCATGCTTTGTTGCTCCTGTTTTCCTTTTTTTAAATATTTATTTACTTTTCTTTTTCTTCTTCTTGGTTTGACCGAGTTTATTTTTGTGATGGCATTTATTATTATTATTATTATTATTATTATTATTATTATTATTATTATTATTATTATTATTATTATTATTATTATTATTATTACGATTATGATTGTATATATATGGTCGGAGTTTTCAGTTTTTCATCTAAGTATATAGAACCAATGAAGAGGAATTTACATTGTGTTGTCTCACAAATATCTCATTATTATTATTATTTTATTTCTTCACAGACTCTGGAAATGTGCTTTCTTCTTATTTATTTATTTTCTTTTTTTCTCTTTTTGTGAATGTTACATTTATTTGAGGTCTGCGATGAGCAATTGGTTTGATAGTATTGAGGGAGTGGAGTGTTTCTCAACGCTTCTCTATAATGGAGACAAATCGGCACTAGAGACGGTGACTGATCTTGGCTGGCCTGGTTTGGCATCTGCGATGGGATCATTGTTAATGCAACAAGTCCTTCAACAGTCGGAGTCTGCATACTCTATTTTCTTCGTTACGCAGGTACTGCGGCATTTGGTAGATTCTCAGTTCACAACAAGTGATCTCGTGGCACTTGAGGCTTTTTTGAGTTGTGTGATTGTACAACGGCACACCTTGTTGACGCCTGTTTGTGTAGATGCCTTGATTCGACTCCTCTGCACAGCAGTAATACGAGGCTTCTGTGATGCCCCGGAGCTTCAGAACTTTCCTCACAAAGTGTTAGCGGCGTTAATGTTGAAAGATAATCGCTATTCGGAGGAACATGTCTCATTATCATGTTCTATTCTCATCACACTTATTGATGAGATTGAAAATATGGAAGATACAGTGCGAGGACTTGTAACTCATAAGAGAGTGAATGTTTGTTTTCGTAATGAATCTCTTCTACCAATGTTTCGTGCAGTTTCTCATTGTATTAAACATCTTCATTGCATGCATGAAAAGGCGAATTATAGTGCTGTAACTTTATTAGGAAGAGTTTTATTATTTGACTTTAATTCTTCATGTAGTGAAACGGTAGAAGATATGATGACACGAGAATTTCCTCAAGAATGGGCAAATGATCTTATTGATCAACAGTTGATGATGCGATTATGGGAATTATATACAGCACCTACAGGGGATTCGAGATTTTTTGCTGCTCTTTTGGATGCCTTAACTCCACTTGTTTCCATTAAATCTACACTCTATCCTTCTCAACAAGTACAAAGCAATTGGTTGGGATTAATTCTTTCAGCTACTCTTTCCATTATGGAATCTCGTATTCACTTGGAAGAGGCTCCAGTGTTAAGAGAATTTTGTAGGTTATTAAATCGAATAAAACCAAATTTTACAATTGATGAAATGAGGAAATCTTCATGTTATGAACGTTGGATTCGCACAACTTGTGAATTTACTAAATTATGTTTTCAGAATTGGTGTTATGCTCGTCAGGCGTTTCTTTCATTAACGTCTATTTGGGCTAAACTCGTTGGATCTCAATCCTACTGTAAAGATGGTCAAACATTCTTTGAAGAACTCGCACCTGAAGTGTGTATTTCATATATAATGTCCAACAAGGATCAAGCCGTACGGTTTGCCACACAGAGAGAGACAGTCTCTTTTGATGATTATATATTAGATGCAGATGCCGAAACGATTTCATTAGAGTTTGATTTTGCTTCACAATTACTTCGTTTTTGTGGTGAAAAGGTGGAAAACTATTTTCTTCAAGAATTACAATCTTTACTGAGTTTAATAAAAACAAAGGAATCTTTATCAGATTTACAAATATCATGTACGTGTGAATGTTTGGCGTGGAATATTACTTTTGCTAGTTCATGGTTGAATGCATATCGCTTTAGCCGAAGCGGTCGAGTTTTGGATTCTAGTATATTGATTAGTTGTTTTGATGTTGTCAGAGAAAGTTCTCAAGCTTCTTTTACTCATTCTGTTTCAATTGCAACTCGCCGTCATTTCCATAAATCTCTCCTCATATTTCTACGAACAGCATGGCATATACTTCTTTTGGATAGACTGGATGATGCGAAAAAACTTCGAGAACAACTTCGAGATTATTTTTCATTAACAAATCAAGATGTACTTGGACGTATTATATTAGGAATAGTAGTAGATGAAGTGATGGACTGTGTTCGTACATGTGCGGACGATACCGTAATTGAAGCTCTTGATCTCTTGAGTGAAATGGCGCAATCACCCTCTACTGCTGTTATCCTAAAGACATTACCGCAATTTAATACAAATCTGGTACTTAACATGGAAAGACCTCAAAACCTCAAGGGAGTTGTTGCGTTTCACCGCGTGCGATATCGTCTATCACGTATTGAAGCGCAAGTACATTTTCTTGGTAGCACTTTGGAATATTTATCCACAGAGTTTTTACCACCATTGCTGGAAGAATTAAAAAAATGGTTAATGGCAGGAATTATGGCAGGTGACCCCCGTTGTGATATGCTTACTAATATTGTTTGTTCATGGCGGGGTGTTTTCCGTTCATGTGTTGGACAAACGGAATATAAGATGTTCTTGAAAAATGTATTTTCTGGTTTACCTTTAATTACAGAACAACTTCAAAGACATTTTGGAACTACATGTGGTTTGCAATTATTACGTTTAATTAATGAAATTACTGAGAACCGTTACCGTCGTATTAACTTTGGACCTAATGGAGTAGAGGGTTATTCACTTTTTCGTTATGTAAGTGATTCTTTGGGTATGGCTGTGAATATGGTTGAAAAAGCTTTAGAATCTGGTGATTCAAGTCTTGAAGAATGGGGAATTAAATGTTTACGTATTGTGCTTCGAACAGGTCGTAATATTCTTACTGGTGGTTACTGTAATTTGGGAGTACTGCGTCTTTATGAAGAAAAAACGTTAATGTTGTGTTTAACTGCTTTATGGAGATCTATGCTTTTAGTTAACCGTAATCGCTTATGTCAATTTGAAAAATTGGCACAGGCTTATCTTATGCTAGCGGGTGAACTTTTAAGGGACTTGTATCTATGGTTTCTCTCAGTAGTACCAGTCAACAATATTCTTTCTACCATTCAATTACTTGAATTTTCCCTCGGATATCATGTTTCAAATAAAACTTCTCTCGCTTCACTTAGTTGTGAGGCTTTAGGAGCATTTACAGGAACATTATGTCAGATAGGAGAGGAAGATACTGTGCACAGTGAACGTATTTGTAGTAACTTACTACAGGCAGATCCAGCTCTCTTTTCTCGTCTTATTCGTTTAACAATTGATGTCATTGTATCAAGGAAATGTTCTTCTTCAACGACGGAATTTCTTTTAAGAAATTTAATAGTTTTAGATAAGAACTCCTTCGTGGATCTTGCGAGCAAGTTTGCCGGATTTGCTATTACAAATGATAAAGATGCAGAGGTGAGGGCAGTCTTTGAACTTTTGGGATCCAGTGCATTTGAGTCAATTCGAAAGAATAACAACACCTTATTTGCGAAGGAGTTTCAACATTTCTCAACAGTCGTGACAAGTTGTCTTCGCTAATTGGTTACTACCACATTTTTTTATTCTTTTTTTTTGTTTTATTCTTCTTTTTTTTCTTTTATAGACCTTTTTTTTTTCTTTTTCTTTTTCTTTTTCTCACAGTGTTTGTGTGTCTGTGTGTGTGAGTTTGCGATTCTGTCATTCTGTGATTGCTTGTACCTGCATCCATAACTCGGATCACTCCGTAATTGATGGAACAACTTCTTCTCCACCTCTGTTTATTTATTTATTTATTTCTCTCTCTCTCTCTTTATCTCTTTATCTCTATTTATCTAAAGAATGTTTGGTGGGGTTCCACGACTGCAAGGCCGTCTGGCGGTTCTCGCGGGTCCTGCGGCATTCCGCCGCCTCACGACTGCCGCCCCCGCCCCCGCTGGAGAAGCCGCCGCCGTTTCATCCTCCTCCTCTTCTTTTTCTCTTACCGCTCCCTCCTCCATTTCTCCCTTCTTCTCCTCCTCTTACTTGTGGGGGCGGCGGGGGTACGGCGGGCCGACGCGGGTGCGACTGGCCCGCCGCATCAAAGGCCGCCGCTCACGGCACCGCGAGCCGGCGGAGGGCGATTGGCTCTGCCAGTGCGGCGAACTCAACTACAAATCGAAGCGGGAGTGTTTTAAGTGCGGCGCCCCCGCCCCGCCACTCCCGCCAGGCGTCCGGCGTCCATCACTCCCCGGCGAGGACCCACACGACTGGGCATGTCCGTGCGGGCAGATGAACTTCCGCGGCAGTGTCGTTTGCCACAAGTGTCAGCAGCCCAAACCAGCACCGCCGCCGCTTCCAGGAAAAGAAGTGACACTCTGGACATGTCCAAAGTGTAAAGGGGTAAACAGAAATGTCAGGAAATTCTGCTTTAAGTGCTCAGCACCGTCACCGTTGCTCACATTTAAACCTGTGGTTTAGATATATTTCAAGCGTCACCCAGTGGAAATAGATAAGGGTGGGTGGGGGTAGTGATAGTGGTGGAGAGGGGTCACACAAGTCATGTCATCATCACATGCGTCCAAGCTCAAATTCTTCTTTATCGTTATTATTGTTATTATTATTATTATTGTTATTATTTTTTTAATTTGATAAAATTCCGATTTCATTTCTGGACTCTTTTTTCCCTCTTATTTTATATTTTCTGTTTTCTTTAAAGAAGAAGAATACACTCGTACACACACCTAGTTAGAAGAACAGAAGCAAAAATATATAAAAAAAGAAACAATATCCGACAGCAAAGGAATACAGTAAACAACCAAAAAGAAACCAAAGAAGCAAAGTAAGTAACAAAAACAAAAAAAAAGGGGAAGTGTGTCTACAGCAACATGAATTCTGAGGTACGTAATGCCAGCGATGTCGTACCGACCGGAACAATGCCGACGGGAACATTAGACGTATCATCAAAGAAAACTTTATTTATGATGCAACGGGCAGAGCGCCTTAAGGACCCGAAGGTGCGACATATGGGTATAGATAAACAGGCCTTAGATGATCAGGTTCGTGAAAAGGAAGCTTTGCGACGACTTGAACAAGAACGGAATGATTTCTTTGATCGCCAGGCATTATTGATGGATCGTCATGCTCAGGCATTACAGAAAGAGGTGCAGGAAATTCGGGTGTCACGTGAAAAGGAATTACAAGATTACCGTGAGACATTTCAGAAGAAAGAGATGCGTCGGGAGTGGGATTTAAATGATCCCAGATGGAAAGCAAAGGAACTACCTGCTCGTGTAGGGGATGATGATCCTCGCACTGGTGTTTCATCCATGCAGAAGTTTGAAGGAGAAGATTTGGACTACAAGGACCGTCGCAGTCTTCAACAACGTCAGCAGCGAGATTGGGCACAACAGCAAGTGGAAGAGAAACTTGCCAAAAAATGGATGGAACAGGAGGCGAATCGAGCCTTTGATGAACGTAATGAGGAGGTCAATCACCGTATTTATGAGGTAGAACAAGGTATTGCTGAGCAACGACGATTAATACAAAAAAATCAGGCAGAGTTTAATAAGGCTCTAGCAGAGCAAAAACGTCGTGAGGCTATCCGAGATAAAGAAGAGGAAACTCGAAAGGCCCTTGAAGAGATTCGTTTCCACCTGGAGGGTGACTTCCTTAATGAAACTGAGACTATGGTGAGCAACCTAGGCGCAAAAGTAAAATCCGAGCGGTACAAAGGAATGACAGCCGCTGAGAAGGAAAAACTTTTGCAAGAACAGGCAGCACAGCGTGAAGCCATGCGGCGTAGACGTCTTTTGGAAGTGGAAGAGGAAAAACAGTGGGCGCAACAGGAAAATTTACAACTGCGCATGGCGAATGCTCTGGAGAGACAGAGAGAACGGGAACGTCGTGCAGAGCGTGAGGCTCTTCATGCTGAACGTAAGAAACAAAAAGAAGCGGCAGAAGTCCGTCGGAAGAATCTAGATGAGTTGTACACAAATGCAGTAGATGAAGACTACTTTAAGTATTGGGATCGTTGCATGTAAAAAAAAAAAAAAAGAAGTGATGTAATTAGAAACTTTCCCGCATCTTATAGAGACTTGATATGCATTTATGATATCAAATAGGATAGATGTGGGAGGACTACAAGTTTTCTATTTTACTGTTTTTCTTCTGTCACCACATGTAGTTGCTCTGCGCTTGTGTAGGTGATATTTCTCTTTTTTTTTTCTTTTTCTCCATTTGTTCTTGTGTCATGTATATGTTTCACACTACATCCATTTCTACCTCCTTCTTCCATATTTTAAATTGAAATGATTTTTCTGATGTATTCCATTTTACCTATGTTTTGACCATTACAACTTTTGTGGATTCTTTTTTTTTCCTTCGTCTTTTGTTTTTGCTCTTCCATTCTAAAAAAAAAAAAAAAGAAACTCCGTATCTCTCAGGATTCTTATTATTATTTTGGTTTTTACTACACATATATATATAAAGGAGAACGAACAAACAAAAAAAAAAAAATGATATTAGGTATAGGCGATGGAACCTTTGCGATTCTGTTTGTCACAGTTTTTGGGATTGTTATGACCCTTGTAGGCTCTTATATGCTCCCCCGACTGGCTATTGTGATTGGCGCGGTTTCTCTTTCGTTACCTTTTATTGTATACGGTTGTATTATTTCAGCCCCACACGGTCCTGTGCCTCCACCAATGCCACCAACATCATATAATAGGGAACAGCCCCTTCGTATGGATATTGCGCTAGTGGATTATTTTCTCCCTGTTCGTATTGTAGCGATGCTTGTTTTGATTCTCGCTTTGGCTGCTGGAGTTGGATATTACGTTCTATTGGTGGTACGGGAACCACCATATAAGGCACCACGTGTATATTCTCTACGTGAACAACTGGAGGAGTTGCATCCAACATGGTATAGATAATAGAGGGACAGAATGTTTTTTTTTTTTTTTTTTCTATGATCATATCATAGATGGAGTTACTTCTGTTCTCCCCTCTTTCTCCTTGTGCAATATTTATGTGCACTATATCTTTGCTTTCTCTCTATTTATCTCTTTCTACAGATCTCCATTTCCCTCATTCCGTGTGTGTATACGGGAGTATCTGCTTCTTTTCTTTTTCCCCCTCCCCCTATCCCTTTCTTAATTCTCTTCTACCCCCTTTCTGTCTTTGATATATATATTTTTTTTCCTATTTCTTTTGGTGAAGCTTCTCAGAAGGAAGAAAAAAGAAAGAGAAAAAGAAAACAGTAGTTGAAAGAGAACTTGCTCTTCATGTCGGAAGAGCTCGCATACAAGATAATAGTAATTGGTGATGTTGGGGTAGGGAAAAGCAACGTGACATCACGGTACTGCGATGGCTCCTTTTACGACGACATTGTTCCCACCATTGGTGTGGACTTCAAGTACTGTCACTGCACGACACTAGAAAAACCCGCACGCTCTGTGCGACTGCAGATATGGGACACATCTGGCCAAGACCGCTTTGTCACCCTCACCACTGCCTTCTACCGCAACTGCAACGGCGTGCTGCTCTGCTTTGATCTCACCAACCGCGTCTCCTTTGAGAACCTCGACGCGTGGTACGACCGACTCGTATCGAACTGCTTAGAGACCCCGCCGCTCATTCTCGTCGGCTGCAAACTCGATCTTGTGCACCGCAGCGACGCGCAGGACGGCGGCATTGCGTTGGGAAGTCAGCGGCAAGTGGAGAAGAGCGAAGGAGACGCGTGGGCGCGAAGTCACAACTGTCTGTGTTATCTGGAAACAAGTGCAAAGGACAACACAAATATTTCTGAGGCCTTCCAGCAATTGGCAACTTATGTTTCGCAAAATACATCCTTAGCAGTGGAGGGCAACCGGAATACAATAGGAGGAGGTCGTAATAGGAGACCATTTCAACAAGAAGGTGATAGGAAAAAAACATGTTGTAGCATCTTTTGAGTTTTATACAAGAAGAACTCTCCCCTCCCCCCCCCCTACCCTACCCTACCCTCTCTATATTTTCCACCATCACCACCCAAACAAAGAAAAAGAAAAATGTATTTATTTTTCTTTCTTTCATGTCTTATCTTCTTTTTGTTATACCTTTTTTTTTCTTGAAGACCTGTATCACTTTTCTCCTTGCGGGAATTGGGAACGGCTATATATATATATATATATATATATATATATATATTTCCTTTTCACTTCAATCTCTTTTTATTTTTTTTCTCTTACGTATACGTTCTGTATAAATCATTATGAATCTCCTCTTTGTTTTTTCTTGTTTTATTTTTTGTGAATTTCTTTAAGTTTAGTGTGTCAAGTTATATTTCGTGTCTTTGACACTTACACCTTGGTACCAATTGCAAGGAATCAATCCACAACCTACAACAAAATCAGTAAGAAAAAAGAACATCAACAAGTGAATATATATATACATATATATACATATATATATACATATATCATGACAACCGCAGTAACACCTGGAGGTGACTGTGACTACATATTCAAGATCATCGTTATTGGTGACAGTGGAGTTGGAAAGTCATCACTAACCGTCCGTCTTTCTGAAGATGTATTTTACAAAGACTATGCATCTACCATTGCCATTGATTTTCGCATGCATCAGATGAACTATATGGACAAACGTGTTCGTCTGCAGATATGGGATACTGCCGGACAAGAGCGGTTTCAATCTGTTGCCACCGCTTTTTACCGTGGTGCCAATGGTGTTATGTTATGTTTTGATCTCACCCATCGCCCCTCATTTCTCCATCTAGATCAGTGGATGGAGCGTGTGCGACAACAGGCACTTCCTGGCATTCCGTGTTTGTTAATTGGATGTAAATCGGATGAGGCCCGAAATGCCCGACAAGTGACAAAGGAGGAGGCAAATGCGTGGGCACAGCAGCACAGTATGTCGTATATTGAGACAAGCGCAAAAGAAAAAGAAAATGTGCAGTTGGCATTTCAGGAAATCACAAAGGAGATCTTTATTGATATGAAGGAACGAAACGGAAAGGCTATGCCAGGAGGTGGTAAAAACGCAGGAAGGGCAGAAAGCGTGAAGTTAGACGGCCAAGGAGGAAAGAAAGGTTCATCGGGTGGGGGTGGTTGCTGCTAATAGGCACACCACAAAACAAGTTCACACCCAGTAGAGGAAAAGAAAAGAAAAAAAAAAAGGGAACGATGCGTGTTGTTTTATTATTATTATTATTATTATTATTATTATTATTATTATTATTATTATTATTATTTATCCATCTCAAAGCGAAACAAAAAGAAGGATGAGAGGCTCAACACAGACGTCATCGGCGTGGTAGAAGAAAATGAATAAAAAAAAAAGGGGAGAAAAAAAAATAAAGGAGAACAATGTTTAAGTAGACGATATGTAGGAATGGTAAAGGGAATGGGAGTAGTGAGATGGTGCCTTATCCAGTAGAACCGTTGTGTACCGTCTCTGTATATCTCCCATTTCCCTTTCCCACCACCTTTTTTTTTTCTTTTTATTATTATGGAGATAATTCACTGTGCTGTTTTTGTTATTCTCCCCTTAAAACCCTTAACGCCGCTAGATTTTCTTATGATGCTTTCTACCAGTGTTTTTCGTTTGTTTTTTTTTTTTTTTTCTTTTATTATGATTCCTTTCTTGCCTCCCCCTTCCCCATCGCTACGACTGCTAGCACGGTCAGTGTTCTGTACACCCCTCATTGAGGAAAACCGAAAGAAAAGAAAAGGAAAGGAAAGACATGCGAAAAGAAAAGAAAAAAGTTTAAATATTATCTGGATCGGTCTACAGTTGCTCAATTGTAAGAGACACCGTATATATATATTGTCGATCTCTTCTTTTTTTTTGCTTTCTCTCTCTCTCTCTGTGTGTGTTGTGACTTGCTGTGAATTGTGCTATTGTCGATGTCTTGTTTTTCGTTCGTTTACTAAAAAACTCTTTTGTGTCTTCATTTGCACATAATGGTTCTTCTATTTGTTATTCTCTCTTGTTTTTCATTGCTTTCCTAAAACAAGTAGATAGCTGTATAAAAACTCGGGTTTTTTTATTATTATTTAGTTGTTGTTGTCAAACAAAAGAGAAAGTATAAGACTTGATAGGATAAATATCTGCAACAGGGGCAGTACGAGTCACTTCAAAGGAAGTACAAACTGTTTTTTTATTTTTCTTTTTTTTTTTATTATTATTTCTGTAGTAAAGGATGTGGTTTGCAGTAATATTATTCTTTATGGTCTTTCAATGGTCAGGTACCATAAGTGTGTATGCTAGTAGGTGTACCAGTGAACCCATTTATTATGAATCGGAATGTCTTGATATGCCCGAGTGTGCGTGGTGTTGCGAGTTGCCTGTGGGTCGTCAATGTCTTCCCAGACGAGGTTCAAATTCCATACATTCAAAGTGTACCAGTAAAGCCATTCTTGACGATTGGAATTCCACATGCAGTGACTTGTGCCCTACTGGAGATGGGGACTGTAAAAAATGTGAAGTAAAGAATTGGTGTTACTTCTGCATCAGTTCATTAACGTGTCAGGCCCCATACGCGGAGTGCCCTGGGAACAGTGTGATTCAGTCCTGTGATATGATGAAGAAACAGACGGATGAAAATATGTATTACTTTGAAGTTATCACGGCTGTGGGAGCCGCGTTGTGTGGGGCGGCACTCATCGCTTCATTAATTCTCTTGGGACTTCGCGTGCGCCAGAGAATACGAGAGAGTCGACCAAGTCTCACGGAGGAGTCTGTGGCACTTCTAAATGATAACACACATTCTCACGATCATGACATTAATCGAAATAACCACAACAATAGAAGTGATAATAATAATAATAATAATAATAATAATAATAATAATAATAATAGTAGTAGTAGTAATAATAACAGAAACAACGCCGGTAGCAATGTTGCAGCTGGAACCTCAGCAACAAGAGAGGTGGTGGATACTACAGTGAATACTACCACCGCAGCTGCAACCTCACGTGCAGTGTCTCCAACTAGGAACAGAGAAAATGCCGAGGTGTACTTAACTCCACGCTCAACCAAAATAAGTACTGGAGAAGATGAAGGCGTTTGTTTTCTTTGTCTTGATGCCAGTTCAACAGTAACATTTCTTCCATGTTATCATACTTGTTGCTGTGAGGAATGTAGTAACAAGTTACGTCCAACACGTGGAGACGTTTTGACATGCCCTTTCTGTCGTACGAAGATCGTCTCTATGGTGAGCCTTCATAATATTTTGCTCCAGGCGAGTTCAAAGTCGTAAGGGGGGTTGTTCAGCTTTCTTCATTTCAATTGTTGTTATTCTCTTTTTTTTTCAGTATATGGGGACGTATGAAGAAAAGAGTAACTGAGAGTAGAATATGTAATATTTTCTGACGTTTCTTGGGTATACTCTTAGTGATTATCTTTTCCTCTCTAGTCTGTTCAACGATAGATTCTTTTTCCCTTTCTGTTGTTTTTCCCTCTCTGTTTTTTTTTTTTTTTTCTTGTTTGCATTTTCTAGTTCTTTGGTACCTGGTACTTGTTTTTTCTTTTTTCTCGACTACTACTACTATATTGACTACTGCTTCATTTACTGGGTTTGACTTGAAAATTTCTTTTTTTTTTCTCTTCTTCTTTTTCTTCTCTTTTCCAATCCAATCCAATCCTCCTCTTCACCTATTCTTTTTTCCTTTTTTCCCCACCATTCTCTCTACAACATGGGCGTTACGGTTGAGAGAAGTTATCGTGTGTGTTATATATATATATATATATATATATAATGGTCTGGCGGCGGCGGTATAAAGTAGTGGAAAAGGGCGGCGGTGTGGGGGAAGTTGTGCAGGTGGCGGTGCGGGATGTTGGCGTCAACGCCGGGGAGAACACACCGCCGCTCTACATCACTTCCCTGATGGACACCAGCAGACGAAATAAAGCCTTTGATGGGACCGGCTGTAGTAGAGACGGATCACCCTGTTATGCCTGTGCACACTATCAAGATCGTATCGTGCAGCTGGAGGCACAGTTAGAGTTTATGGAAAAACAAATGCATGTTAATAATATATTGAATGCCATGATGAATAGTTTGGCGACTCAACATAATCTGAGTCAAGGGTCTGCTCTCCCAAGCACAAAAAGTACCGGAGGCTCCCGAACACCATCTTCACGGCGCCATCGAAAACAACAACAACAACAACGAGAAGAAGAAAGGCAGAGATCAGAATCTAAGGATGAAGGTGATGAACATCCAACACTTTTAGAAATGATGCAAGAAGAACTTAGGCGCCAAGATTTACTGCATGCTCTAATGAATCTACTAGAGCGTCCAACCCCAGTGGAAGCAGCTCGTAGCGCCGAACGACTCGTTCCAGAACACGTGAAATTACTTCGAAAGGGAGTACCTGAACATTAAAACTATTTGCTGGCATCATATGATATGTTTAAAGATGTAGACAAGAACATTAGTCTGGAATAGTTGATCATTTAACGAGTGAAAAAAAAAAGAGAAAAAAAAAATTACTTTCCCCTTTCTTTTGACCATCCTATTGTTGTTGTTTTTTTCTTATTTGGATTCTCTTATCCTCCAGTTGATGGTTCATCAGTTACCTTTTCGTTCTCTCTTTTTTTTTTTCTTGCTTCTTTTTCTGCTTGCAGGCGAGCTGTTGTTTCTCATATATCTTTTTTTACAAGGATTTATTGACTTTTTTACTGTTTTTTTTTTTTTATCCCCTTAATTTTTTTTTTTTCTTCTTTTCTTCTTACTTTATTACTTTACTTTCTTTGCACTCTACTCCTTAATCGGAATAAAGAAACAGGTGCGGCACCTAGGACGAAAAAGAAAAAAGAAAAAAAGGGTGAAAACAAAAAAGAGAAAAAGCACATCAGAGCAATGGCAGCCATGATGACCCGAAATGCGGCCGGTGTCTTCCCTCCTAGAAAGGCCGGACAGACGGATGGGGATCTCCGCAAGGAACTCAATGCGCGTAATGCCCCACGTGACTCCACAATTCTTACACGCACGGAATTGGATATTATTCGTGATATGATCGCCGGTAAGAATATTATGACGACACTCATAAAGAGTACAGTACGGAGTCGTACTGAAGCGGCTGAAGAGCGTAAACGACGTATGCAGGAATTTGATGATGAACGACGTTTACACGGTGGTGGCGATAAATCGCTTGAGGATATTGAAGAAGAACAACAACGACGTCTTCACTTGGATCGTGCAAAGGCCCTTATTGATGAGGAATTTGAAGATGTAAAAGCTATGAACAATATTGTGACAGAAGTAAAGTGTATCGCCGTTCGTGATGCGCAGATGATGGAGAAAAAACGTCGTAAAGAAGAAGAAAAAGAATATGAGCGACAAATGGATGAAATGATGGTATTAGAGGCTAATAAAGCCCAACACATATACGAAGAACGTGAACGTCACCAAAAAGAAGGATGTAAGAAGAATATAGCTGTAATAAAAGCACAGCTAGAGGATCGTGAGATGGACCGTATACGGAAACTAGAGGTACAGCAACAGGAGCAGGAGGCAATGGTGCGTCATATTGAACGTTTGCGTGAAGAAGAGGCGGCGGAAAAATTACGTCGACAAGAAGCAGCCCGACGCCTCATGGAAGACGCTGCTCTGGCGAACGCCGAACAGATTCAATTGAAAAAACGTCAACAGGAACTGGAGTTAGAGGAAGACAAACGTGTAATGGAGTACGTTAAGCAGAAACAGGAGCGTGAGCGTCTGTTGGCTGAGGAACAGCAACGTATTCGGGACGAGAAGGAGCGAGAGGTAGCCAGACTGCGGGCACAACAACAGCGTGTGCAGGATAAGCAGGCACAGCTTGATGAGATACGTGCTCGACGGGCCCAAGAGGCGTATGCGCGGGAGATGAAGCGTAAAGAAAAGGAACGTAAAGAACATGAACGTGCCGTGTTGGATGATCTTGCACGTGCGCGGGAACAACAAATGGAGGAGCGCAAACGCATAAAGGAGGAACAGCGCCGTCAAGAGATTGAAGAAATGGAACACATTGTCGCTGTGCAGAAACTCGCCCTCGAACAGGAGCGGGAGAGAAAAGCAAAAGCCCGACAACAACAAGAAGAAAACTCATTGGCGGTCCTTCAACAAATTATGGAAGTGGAGGAGCGTCGCCGTCGCGAGAGACAAGAGTACGTGGCTGAGGGACATCACGCAATGATGCAAATACGAGAACATGAGGCTGCCATTGAGGCAATACGACAGAGGAAACTGCGGGAACTGCAAGAACTTGGTGTACCGGAGGAGTACTCAAAGGCATTATTGAAAAAGGTAAAGAGAAGAGGAGTCGCCTAATTGTAAAAGACTCTTTAGAGTCTCTACTCTTGTAGCTTTCTTTCACTTCGCTTCATAGATAGAGAAAATAAATATCATTGATTTCTCATTCTCTTCTCTTGTTGTCACTTTTTCTCTCATTCTTTTGTTGTAGGTTTTTATTATTATTTTTATTATTATATATATATCTATCTCTCTTACTTCTCTTAGGTGCAAGTAAGCGTGTTTTGTTCCCTCATCGAACGGGCGTATGAGGGTAACTCAATGTATCAACAGTTGATGTACCTTTCCCGTTGTGATTTGAATTGTTTTTTTTTTTTTTTCATTTATCTCTTTCTTCTTGGTGTTTATGTGTGTCTGTGCACTCCTCTCATTGAGGTACCTTGGTGTCAACCTATCCCTTAATTGAGAAGGTTGAAAAAAATGAGAGAAAACGGACAAAAAGAAAGTATAAAGCGAAGCTGAGGAGGAGTATTTTGCAGTTTTTAGAAAGATGTTGAATTCTTATTATTATTATTATTGTTATTATATATTTTTTTTCTTTATTGTTTTTTGTGAGTTATATATATATACATATATATTTTTTCTGTTTTTTTTTCCCCACTTTTCTTGTTTCTCTCCTTTATTTTCATTTTATTAACTTTACAATTGATGGCAGCAGGAAACATTTCCTTGAAGGAGTGTGTCAGTGATATTCTGCTGGAGTACACGAAGATAATAATAAAAAAAATAAAATAGGTTTTGAGGAAACGAAAGAGTTATTTATTTATCGGGCAAAGAGAGAAGAAGTATAGAAGAAAAAAAGCAAAAAAAAAAAAAATGGGTAATCGACATCCCGCTCCGGTGCAACAGACGACAGCACCAAGGTCTTTTTTTCTTGTGGTTGGTGGGCCATCCATTAGATACATTAGAGATCCTCCTGCACGTGGTCCTCTTATATTTGATGTAGAGACGGAACAGCCTGATGATAACGAGTCTGTACAACGTGCAGAAACTGTGCAGCTACAGGTGGCGGTTCCATCTAGACAATCGTTCAAATTAAAACAAGTAAATCCAGGGAATAAAAACTTTGGTTTTTTGCTGAGTTTTTCACTTGGTATGATAAAACCAGGGAAGATGCTACGTGTGCTTGCAGGTGTAGATATTGAGTATGTTCCAGGTGAGGGGGTTCAATTAATGCAGTCAAAGAAGAGTCAAAATCCATTTTGTGTTTACGAGGTCGTACATCCAGAGGACTTTGAAGAAGAAATAGAAGTGAGTGAGGTGTTGCACTTGGAGAAACTCTCTCACACTGCGATGTCTGCAGATGAGAGTGGGGCAAAACGTCTCACGTATGCACCTATTGTTATAGAACTTATGTATGAGGTGACTGTAGAAACAGAAACTACCACTACCTCCTCACAGGAAGATGTGTATGAGAATCTGTCGGAGAGAGAAACATTGGTGGATCATATGCAGTCTACCTCATCCCACTCCACTACACCATCCCCTAGTGTTGCGACTAACATTGGAGTTCACACAATGCGAATAGTACAGTATACTTTTCTTGATTTTCCCGACGCGGCACTGGAACGGACGGCGTTAACATCTTTTCTGCGAGATGAGAACGGCAATAACGCCGATCGGCCGGTATATGAGGCGAAGGTGGCCCGGCAGTTACTGCAGCGAGGCACCGAAGTATACGAACTCGATGATGTCTTTGATCTTGGTGCCTGTGATGATATTAGTGATGAAATGGATGAGGCCGAGGCCGAGGAGGCGGGTCTCTGTGTTATTTGCCTCACAAACCCAAAAGACACCATTCTGCTTCCCTGCCGGCATATGTGTTTATGTCATGATTGTGTTGCGGTGTTGTTACTGCAGCCAAATAACCGTTGCCCGGTGTGTCGTTCGGCAATCGCACGCCACATGACAGCGTAGGGGGAACACACACACACACACGCACACAAAGAAAAGAAAAAAAGAACAGCATTAACGAAAAAGAGAGGGAAAAAAAAAGAGTACCTAAAAAAAAAAAAAAAAAAAACACTCTTTCTTTCTCCTCCCTTTTTCCCCCTTTATCATAACGATCAAAAGAAAGATGAAAGGGGTATGAAAGAGACAGAGCAAATACATAATACAGTAAATAATGTATCAAAAAAGGGAAACAAATAAACCTTTTATTTTGTTCTGGATCAGTGATGTTGAGGTTCAATATGTAGGGCGTTTTTTTTTTTTTTTATTTTATTCGGCTTTGTTTTTTGCTTATGTGTTTTTCACTTCATGTGTTTTTTTTGTTTGTTTGTTTGTTTGAAGTTGTCTTATTTCTTTGTTTGGTTATGTGCCATACACCTTATATATATATATATTCATTGACTTAAGTGAAGCTATATGATGTGTGTTTTTATTATTATCTACGAATATATATTGATTCTATGTAGTCCGATATACTGTAGATTAGACTGTATTTCGCAAGGGTTTCTTTTTTTTTTTTCCTTTTTTTTTCTTTCTTATAATTTAAATATTCAGCATTCAATCCTAGTTATGCCAAAAACTCTTTCTACAACTTGTGAAAAAGACGTACAATGCGTAGAAGAAAGAAACCGTTCAGAAGACGTTAAGAACAATGTGGACAATAGTTCTTCAAGACCATCAAGACGTGCATTACATAGGCAGGCAGTCAAGAAATTCAATGAAAGACGTAAGAATGAAGAACGACGACGTCTGGCAGAGGAGCGTGACAATAAACTAATTCAGTCTAGTGGTAGTTTTAGCAGTAATAGTAGTAGTAGTAATAGTGGTAACAGCAGTAGTAGTGATAACCATAATGAGCAATGTAGTTCGTTAAAGGTAATTAATAAAAATAGTACGAAAAAACCTGTATTAATTGGGAAGTGGGAATTTGATTTTTTCTTCCGTACTATACCTTCTGAGTTACTACCTTCACGTGGAGAACCTGTAGATACAGAGAAAGACTTGGAAGAATCACCTTCAGTTTTATATAATAAGGAAGAACAGTCACTGGTCGTGGTGAATGATGATGATAGTCAACCTTTAAGGTCTTCCATACCCTTTAAAGCTATGATGCAAAGTAATCTAACTAAAAGTATTCATGTGCGACGTGTTGAGGGTGTTCCACCGCTTCCAATGATTAGACCAATACCAACAGGAACTGATTTAGATGAACCGACATGGAATTATTTACTCCCTGATAACACATATAATGTTCATCAACATGCTCCTGGATTTGAGAGAGATGAAAATACGGCTAAACGATCCATGCTTGCCTGTGCTGTGAGGGAATGGAGAGGTGCTGATGATAATGTATTGGTGTTATCAACAGGTGAGGCATTGCGAAGTGTGTTTGAATCCACATATGGGGAAACGAAACCATTATCACTAGAAGTTAGACGTGTTGGACCGACTCTGCTAATTGACTCCCATAGTGAGCGACAATTTCGTACACGTGTAAAAGATATGCGAGAGAAAGCACTTTTGGGGAAAGCACTATACCGTATTCATGATGCCTCATTCTCTGTAAAAGATAGTAATAATGTGAATCCCGCTGAAAATGGTGTTGTTGCATTACCCATGCATCGTGTGGGTTCTGGAGCCCTTTCAAAAGAAACACGAATGTTAAGTCGTTATTCACATATATTCCGTTGGGAAATTGGTTCTATGGATGTGTTAGTCGGTATTGACACTCCCATTGTACTGGATCACAGAGATAATACAGAATATGTATTGAAATTAAAAGACGTTTCTGTTGCCATGACACCACAGGAAGCACAACGTGAGGCGTTAAATTGTTGGTTTGATGCCACACTTGCTAATGTGCCACAAGTTGGAATCTATCTACACAATAAGGGTGTTATTCAACGATATGAAGTTAAAAAAGCACAAGAAATGCTTGGTCTTGTAGAGGGAAGTATGGCAACAGCATCTATGAATTTTACAACAAATGTACTTCAATGGTTAGTAGCACAGTGTACAAAGGATGGAGTAACTTATGCCGTACTTCGAAATTATACAACTGGTGATCTTGAAATTTATGAGTGTTCGAAAGATGAACATTATGAGAAATTTCTTCCTGGAGATAGTAAAACAGAAGGTGATTTTATCACCGATCCATCTTCAACAGATACCGCAAAGCATACGAATGGAATAGATAATACCAATATGGAAGAAACAGGTACAGATCAGGGGAAAGAGGAAGAAAATAATGGAACGGAGAATGAACGACTAAATTGGGGTTTGGCCACTATGTGTTTTCGAATGGGTATGCATTTAAAAGACTCTGAAAAGAAAGCCCCGGATGCGCTTTCTCTTTTATTACGTAGTTTTGCTTTGTATTTTCAACAAAAAACACGAATGGAGGAAGCCTCTCAACATATTTGTGAGATTGTAAAATCTCTACCTACTCTTATTCGGTCTTTGATAAATGGTAGAAAGGCAGAACTTGAAGAACAAGGTGGAATTATTCAATTACCAGCGGTTTACCGAGAGGCTTTTTTAGCATGTGGACGTTTTGAAATGCGTTTACAGGAAGCAATATATGATGAAACTCTACGAATTCAAACACGGCGAACTTTTTTAAAATGTTTACTTCCTTGTAGTGCTGCTTTATGTGTTTGTATTGCCCGAACAATTGAACAGTTTTCTTCAGAACGACGTGTTTATCTACGACTACGAGCTGAAAAGAATCGTGGTAGTAATATGCATATTCATAGTCTTATCGCAAAGGACTTATTGCAAGTGGTTGTGGAAGGTTTGTTGCGATTAGAACAGATGAATCAAATATTAAAGGATGATCCCACACTAATAATGTGTACAGGTATGGATAAGAAAGAATATGAGAGAGCTTTAATTGATACAAAAACAGAAATAATTGATATAACACCACTTACAAGAGCATCATGGGAACTTTATGCAGATGTTGTTCTCCTTGTCATGAGTGATCGTACACCTTTTACAGCAAATGTACTAGTTGAACTTAGTAAACGCATAAAATCTCGTGAAGATAGACGCAATGCTGAAAACGTTGATCACAGTATTACTGTTGCTGCTCCTACAGCAGGAGGAAGAGGAGGAGGAGAAACCTCTAGTGATGGTGAAACTATACTGACGTGGTTATCTTCTATTACACATGACCCTGTTTCACTTTCCTTCACAGCACTTCGATTCCTTACTAAAGTAGGACTTGAGTCCAAACGATTGTTATTAAAGATGGCTCAAGTATATTATCATGTTGGACATCATCATCTTCTTACAGACCGTTACACAAAAGCACTTGAATCTTTACATCGCGCGCAGTCACTTTTCAAAGCCATACAACAAGCAGCAGCCGATGATGTATTCGGTGGTTGCAGCACTCCATCAGGGACAGTTACAATAAAAGATGTCCAACATGCGCTTGGGGATGTGTACATTCGTATGGCTTCTCTCAAGTCACATCTCGCGTCTTTGGAATTGCGAATGACTGTACAACAACCACTAGCATTTGGTGAGATGCGAGTATTATCTCCAGAAGAAGAGGCCTTCTACCGTCACGCTGTGGATCACTTCACAAACTCTGAAGCGAATGCCCGTCTCGCTGCCGCTCTCCGCGTGTACGCCTCTCGCTTGATTGGACATATTGCCTGCAGTGGCCAACAGGCGGATGTGGCGAAGGGGCGGCATATTTATTCGATGCTGCGAAAGGCGGGTGATCTTTCCAGCAACGATACCGCATTGGATTGGGAAGTACTGCGAATCTGCACATGTGCAACCCATCATGCCGCCTTGCAGCACAGAGCAGAGGAAATTACCTCACAGTGGGCAACCATTTCCATCTCACAAACTACTACTGATACTACTAATACTACTACTACTACTACTACTACTACTAATAATAATAATAATAATAATAATAATAATAATAATAATAATAATAATAATAATAATAATAATAATAATACTATAGGTATGCCAGAAGCGTTGGAATCCATAGTTCACCCACTGGAGTATTTATTCCAGATGGCACTTGTCTCCTTGTCGTTGTTGGAGGCTAAAAAGAACCTGAAGGCTCATCAGGTGATGGCACTTGTGCGTGGGTGTATCGCACAACTAGTGGTGGCGCTTAATAATTCTCAGGAAACAAATAATTCTTCAAGTGCATTGTTGACTCGTGCCCTTGCTACCTGGAAGTCGCGATGCGCACATGAGTGGAAGTGTCGTATGTCGTTGATGATAGGTATTCGGGTCATGCGAGTGTTGGTGCGTTTGTTACCCACTGGAAAAGCCTCAGGATCAAAAGGATTAATGCAGAAACTTGTTAATATGCAGAAAGAAATGGATGATATCTTGCCAACGGACATTTGCTCTGAAGACGAATGTAAGTTCTTAACGCTTACTACGTCACTCGTTAAAGTATTGGAAGATGTCGCAAAATGGTAATAAATAAAATAAAAAATAGAAAAAAAAATTCCTTTTTGTGTAATATTGTGCTTATAACATATACGTTGTAAAAAAAAAATATATATTATATATAAGCGTATGTGATTGACATACTATTAATAAACATAGAAAAATATTGCTTTGGTAATAATGAAAGACCCTTAAGTCTCTTATAATATTCCACTCTAAATGGATGAATGCGTGCAAGAAGAAATAGTTGTAGTCTTCCCTCTTTTTTTTTTTTGAATGATATCCCTTAATACACACACTCTCTTAATCTTTTTCTCCCTTTTTCTTTTCTTTTTCTTACCACACACACACGATGTGCCTACATTCCCCCTATTTACTTATTTCTATTGTAGGAAGGATATCTTCTCAGCGAGGCGACTGAGACCTCATGCGGCGTGTCTGCAGCCGTTGTGTGCGGCCGGTGGGTGAATTCCCCGCCGTCGCGTTGCGGCAGTCCACCGCGGCGGTCTCCACCGGCGTCTTCGATCACGGCCCCTTCCAACACCGCAGCCGCCACTCATTCAACACAATTCCACTGCACGACGCCAATCGCCTCGGGGGGCGCACGGCGTATCTGCGCGAAATCGGCCCCGTCAACCAAAAAACACGCGGCCGCCGCTTTAAGAAGGATCCACGCACCGTGCAGTTCAACGTGGATGTGTGGTGTGCGCAGCAGACACTGCGGAAGCGGTGGAAACAACGCGATTGGGAGGTGGTGGAGGTCCCCTTCCGACACGCACCGGCGGAGCAGCAGCGCGTGGTGCCGGAGCTCTACACAGATGTGCCAATGATGACAGACCCAGCACGGCAGGATTATAGTAACATCCGCAGTAAAGTATACGACCGCGAGGCACTGCAACACGTCCTCTTTGGCGCTACAAACACATTGCCCTATCCACCACTGCAGTACGTGGACAAAAAGGCAATGACATTGGATAAGTTCTTGTAGGGAGAGTCGATACATACACATACAGAGGATGCAGAGGAAGAATGAAGAAAAAAAAAAAAACTGTAGGACAACAAGAAAAAGAAAAAGAATAAACGAAATGATGTGATACCTTGAGAAGTTTGTACATTTGCTTTCTCTCGTTTTTTTTTTCTTTTTTTCTTCTCTGTTATTGCTTCATTTAACGCATGTTGTAAGCCTTTAGTGGTGTCATGTAAGATCTATCACATAAATATATTTTATTTATTTATTTTATTTTATTTTTCTTTAACTTTTTTTTTTGACCTACACTCTTGTCTATACATATATATATATATCTGACCTTCAAACAAACTATAACGAAAAAAAAAATAATAGAAAGGAAGTTGTTGGTTTCTCGTGCTGTGAATACCAGGCAACTGACACGAAACTCACTTAAAAGAAAAAAAAAAAACGAATACACATATAGGGTCACTTGTGGTCACAGAGGTGTAGACGAACAGGAAAGAAAAAAAAAAAAAAGCGAGGAAAATAAGATAACATCCAAAGCGAAGAAAAAAAAGGAAAAAAAAACCTTCAAAAAAAAAAGTAAAGAAGAAGGAAACAACGCATAGTCGTCCAGATGGAGGCATCATATAGCAGTAATGCCGATCGTTTGCAGTACCTTTACCTGAACCTGGTCGGTCATGTGGTTCAGGTTCGCTTGGTTGATGGTACATGTGTGGAGGGATTATTTATGTCTCGCTCAGATGTGGATGGGGAAGGAGACTCATCTATTATGCTCTGCTGCACTCGATATGTTTCCTCCGCAAAGCATAAACCGCTTGACCCTTCGTGTGTGGAGTTCGAAAAGGACACAATTATCCCATATAGGGACATAGTAATGGTGGAAGCGCAGAACGTGAAAATTCGTACAGAGGCACCTGGAAGAGTGGATGAACGCCATGGTGATCTTTCCATGAACAAGTTTGATTGGGCCGATGATGGCGCTAATGAGTTGCTGGATAATGATACACTTCCGACTGGATCATGGGATCAGTTTGAGGTGAATGAGAAGGCCTTTGGGGTGAAGACCACCTACAAGGAGGAACTCTATACAACTCGCTTGGACCACAGCAAAATCACAGAGGAACAACGTGCCCATGCTGATCGTGTGGCTCGTGAAATTGAAGTTTCAACCACACGAGGTATTGCACATCGCATGGAACGTGAAGAGTTCTTAAAGGATGATGAAGGACGAGATGAAGGAACTCTTTACTCTGATGTACAACGTCCTCAGAAAGAGGAAAAGACTGCCTATGCTCCTCCTACCGGACCAAGAGGAAAGAGAGGTAATGAGATGCAACAAGCACCACCACCACCTCCTCAAGCAGCCGCAGCTGCAGTGGCTCCAGCCGTAAATGCAGCAACCGCCACTGGAGCGGGAGCCGCATCTCTTGCGGAGGAAAACGCCATGCGTCATAAGAGAGCTGAGGAGGAGAAACTTTCCTTGCCTCATGATAATCATCCAAGATCTCCTGGATTTAACCCAGCAGCAACACCTTATACACCTATGAAACCTGGTGGTTCCGCTACCGTTCCTGCAGTGGATTTCCTTACAGCCTTGGCAAATGCTGTTTCTAACAATGACTTGTGCTTCACCTCTCCCTCAAATTGGCCAGGAGGTGCATCCACGTACTACGATCAGGATGATTCCTCTTACTCGCAGCATAGCTACGAAACGATGGCTGCTCCAGGCGCGGGGCCTGCACAACCAATGTTCATGGGTCAACAGCCGCCTGTGCCCCCACACCATAGAAGCTACCAGAACGCTGGGACGAGGATGAATCCAAATCCACAAATGCCAATGCACCACATGCACGCCCAGCAATTCCACCAGCAACACCATCAACACCACCAACACCATCAAGCACAGCAACAACAACAATTTCATGGATTTGGTAATTACGTCCCTCCACAGCACCACACCCCGCCTATGCAGGACTACGGCCCCTCAAGAGGCGGCCCCACACCTTCCATGCGCAATCAAATGCGGCCGCAGAAAAACAACGTTGCCCCACGCCCAGAGCCGCAGCAGCCGGTGAGCACAAACACCGCCGTTGCCCCACCGCCGCTCCCCGCCGTTGAGAGCGCCCCGCCCCCCGCAGCCGAAGTGCGTCCAACAACAAAGTTGCAGCGCGGCCGCGGGGCTGCGGCGGTGCAGCGGGGCGACGTGGACGGCGGCGCGGAATCAGGCGGCGGTGGCGGAGTTACTGTCGCATCAAAGAAACGCGGCGGAAAGTAAACATGGAAATGTACGTCGAAGGCGAAATGAAAGGGAGGGTGAAGTCGTCAGAGGAGGGGAGTACCGTGAAAAAAGCGAGAAGAGTCAGGGATGTGGGGTGTGGAAAGGAATACTAAAAAAAAAAAAAAAAAATGAAGTAAAGTGCCCTGCGCAGACACACATATATGCACACATACATTACTAATTCTCACAGAAAAGTATATATATGCGTACATATTTGTAGGAAACAGTAACACCATGAAGCCGAGTAAACGGAGAAGAAAGAGAGAGAGAGAGATAGATAGATAGATAGATAGAGAAAAGGAAATAAAAAATTGTAGATGAGTAAAGAACTTAGGAGTCCTCGTACAGTTTGTTTATTTGTTTATTCTCAGGTGTGTTCCGTCGTTTCTCTCTCTCTCTCTCTCTCTTTTTCTGTAGTTGTGTACTTGTATGTATGTGTGTATGTGTGTCTTTGGAAGTGGAATGCTAAAGCAAAAATGAAAAAAAAAAATGGAGCAAACACAAAAAAAAAGCAACCAGGGGGTGTGGGGAAGAAAAGAACTGTGGCATCCAACCTTCAAATGAAAAAAAAAAAATAGGAAAGAACAACAATTCTGCGCCTAGAAAAATGAAGAAGAGCGAATAGTCGACGAAGTAAAAAAAAAAAATTAACAAAAAAACCAAAAGAAGAAAAAGCGGAGGTGTATGCGAAGGTAATAAATCAGAAACAATTTTATTGTTTTCAGATAAGGTGAATCTTGTCTCTCAGTCTCTCTGTTTCTGTTTCTCTAATTTACTCCATTACTACTTTCTTTCTGTAGGGAAAATTATCCTTGTCTATATTTCTGTATGTATCGAGTTGTGTATGTGCCTCTGTCTTTATATATATATATATATATATATATATAAATGACGCAAAGCATAGACATGCACACATGGACATCAATAGCATCAGATGTGTTCAGTTGTGTTTTTACTCATCATTCTCTTGTGTTTTTCTTTATAAAGAAAGAAGAAAGAAAGAACTCTTTTCCCTACTGCACAAATAAGTGCGTGATGGATCGTTTCTTTTCTCCCATATTTTTTTTTTCTTTTTTTTTTTCTTTTTTAAACTTGTTTCCTTTTTTTACTTCTTTTCGTTGCTATTCCCTTGTTCTCGGTGGGTAACTGTATATATATATACTTATCTTTCCGTTTGCTCGTTTCTTTGTTTTTACTTACGTTAGCTGCTGTCTGCATTGTGTAATAGCTGTGATGGTTTAATCAAATGAAATATAATTAGGGAAAGAAAAACGTAAGAAGAAGAACAAGAAGTTGTTGCTGATACATGCAAAAACGTATTTGCTATACGACCAGGTTAATTACAATAAAAAAAAAAAAGCAACGAATAGGAAAGAAGAAAGGAAGGAATCAAAGCAACGAAAAAAAATATTAGAATGAGTAAATGCAGTAAAAAGAGAGAGGGAAGATAAGAAAAAAAGGGTTAGGAGCATGCAAGATGAATGAAAAGAGTATAAATATGATACTATGAACCGTCTTTTGATGATAGCTTAGTTTCTTCTTTATTTTCAACCTTTCTTCTTTTTTTTTAGGAACAGAGTTTTTATTTACATGTTGATGGCTCTCTTGCACATGCTTATCTCTAACTTTTTACTTTATGCTGTGGTTGATCGTTTTTTTTTTTTTTTTGTTATTTTGCCGCTTTTTTTTTCTCTCTCTCTCCGTGAGGCTCGTGTTCAAAGATGATCGATTAATAGAAGAAATTCATATATATATATATATATATATATATGAATATGAATATGAAATGGGAGGGGAGAGGTTAGAGCGTGCATGTAGGTAATTTGTTGAGTGTGAGTGTATTTATTGTGTCTCTACGAACCACTAAAGAAAGCAAATATGAGTGTGGAAAGAAAGAGAGAAAAGATTGCCGCGGAAGGAAAGAAGAAGAATAAAGAAAGAAAGAAAGAAAGAAAGGTGTCAGAACATACAAAAACAAGAAAAGTGCTTAGATTGATTCATCCATCCACTTTTTCACTTTATATTAAACGAAGGAAGTGTTTGTGTGTGTGTGTGTTTATTTATTTATTTTGAGGGGGGGAAGGAGAAAGAGGAGGGAGTGGTGGAGTGAAAAGGAGAGAAAAAACAAAAAAAAAAAAAAACGGATGAAGAAAGAAGAGAGCGATGCTGTAAAGTCAAATGCAACTTTGTTGGTGTTCCTCTTTTTCTGTTTACAATGGGGGGAAGACTTGATCGTTCCTCCTATCATTATTTTTAGATCAATTGACTTCCACTGTCGAGAGAAGAAAAATACATTAGGCACCGTTGATAGAAATGGAAGGAGCGGGAGGGCAAACAAACAAACAAACAAAACGAAAGAAAACAGAAAAAAAAAGACGTGAACATTTTTTAAAAAAAAAGAAAAAGAAAAGGAAAAGGAAGGAAAGAAAAAAAAAGAGAAAAGGAGAAAGAAATTGAAAGAATGAGTATGTACTTCTGTTCGTAGGAAAAGGGAAGGAAATGCGAAATAGTGTTGAGGGGGAAAGGCGATAATGAGATGGTGAAAGCAGCAAGAGCACCAGTACTTTCCCTTCAGATTTTTTTTCTTTTTTTTTCACTTCCCGTAAATCTCCTTCTGTTTTTTTTTTTTTTCTTTTATTTTTGTTTTCTTTCATTACTGTTGTTTTGGGGGGCGTTTGGCTGCGGCAAAAAGAGAGAAAAAAAAAATAAAAAAGAAAATTGAATTTTAACGTCATCCTTCCTCATCACCTATTTTATTTTCTCTCTCTTTTCTTTTTTTCTCTCTTTTCTCATGGGAAATACACACATTGTGATTAACTTCACCCCCCACTCCTTCACGTAAAAAAAGAATTAAAAGAAAAAAAAAAAAGAATTAAATAATAATTAATTTTTTTTTTTTTAAAAAAAAGGGAGAAAAGAAGAAGAGAAACAAAAAAGTATTTAATGACTGAAACGATATTGCAGCTGCACAATCCCTTCGCTCCTGAGGCGGAAGAGGCGGAGGGGCCGCATCTCCACATGATGTCTAGTGATATTCCGTGCAAAAGTACTCTAGGGATGATATCAATGGGAGGTTGTCAACAGGATGAAGAAGAGGAAGAGGAGGAAAATGATGATGAGTGCCCAACACCACCGTACGTTCCCTGCAGATGTCAATTTGGTTTGTCGGCTCCGGCCTTTGTACTTGAATTGGATGATTGATTCTCTCTTCTTAAGTAAATGGAAGAAGAAGAAGAAGGTGCTTCTGCTGCTATATCAAAGTTTGTAAATTCCTTTTATATATATATATATATATATATATATATATATTAATGATGAGTGTTAGTTTTATTCCTGTAGACATGAGTTCTCTGCGTCCTGTACGTGTGTCTGTTTTTATTTTTCCGTTTGTTTGTTTGTTTTTCTTTTTGATTGTTTGTTTACGTATTTGTTTGTTTATTCCTTTTTTTTTTTTATCATAAGCAATATGCGCATCTCAAGTTTGAACCCTTTTCTTTTTCTTTTTTGCATTTCATTCACTTCCTTCTCAATAGAACGGCAACAGGTCTCTTGAAGAGAGAAAGAAGAGTTTACTTTATACGCTTTGCTAAAGATGATGTGTGAAGCGTCAGGAGAAGAAAAGAACATCATTCCACACAAACCGCCCTCGTCATCATTGTTGAATCTCTCAGCCAATAATAATAATAATAATAATAATAATAATAATAATAATAATAGTGTTTCCCCATGGGCCCTGCGGTCTATTGCCCTTCATCATATAAACAGCAATCACGATAAGAGTCCCTGCGGAAATAATTACACGGCCCTTCAGCAGTTGTTGGACGTTGCGGGGGAAATGCGAACAAAACAACAATCGTCTCTTGTGGGCGACACGGCGGCGGAAATATTTTTCTGTCGATTACTGCAGTGGCCGCTTCCAACACTCACGCGAGGTGCATCTCTTCTTCGCATCCTGCGCAGTCTTATGGGAGAGTGGATTAAGATAATAACAGGAAGAGGAAAAGGAATAAAAAGAAAAGATCATAAAGAAGGATCAATGTACATCTCAACAGTGGGAATTCGTTATCGACGGTTGTACAATATTTCTCTCTGGCAGCGACGACACCCAATGTTTATTCTTGCCCCTGTGCTAGACACATTTGGGGAATTTCTCTCATGTGAAGAAGTAAATGATGTGTTGGAGGCACTCTCACAATATCTCGTTAGTGAGTTGAATAATATTCCACACATACTCCGCTGTGATGTGTTGATGACGTATCCTAAACTTCCTTTCGCCGAACAACAACAACTGATGGAAGTCCTACGGCCTTCTTACTCCCTTCTTACTACTACTAATACTAATACTATTATTAATAGTATTAATAATAATAATAATAATAATAATAATAATAATAATAATAATAATAATAATAATAATAATAATAATAATACTTTTAATAATGATGGTTCAGGAAAAAGTGAGATGTCTGTGTTCCCACCACCTCCAGATGTGTATCTTGTTGATTATATACATTCTGTGCCAACACGATTTGGCCCGGATGATCTTTCCCTCGAGGAATACAAGGAACTACGCCAAGCATTTGAACAGCACAAACAGGCAGGCGTTAGACGTTTACTTTCATGCACACCATAGACTATCCGTTTTTGGTTTTTTTTTTGTTATTGATATTTTTATTTTTATTTATTTATTTTTTTTTTCTCACCTTTTTTGTTTTTCTTTCTTTGTATGGAAGAGAAAGAGGAAGATTGGGTGGTGTAGTGTCCTTTATATATATATATGAAATCGTGTCTTTGTGTACATTACAGAACAGAGAGAAAAAAATGAGGGTTACCAATTTATTTATTTATTTACTTATTTATTTTATTTATTTTTTGGGCTTAATGGGTTTATTAATGGTATTTTCCCCCGAGACTCAGAGAGATGAGAGTAGATATGCGTATTGGGTATTATCTTACAAGTAAGTCTCTTCTCATAACTGTAAATAATATTACCTGATGTGATATACTGGCAGTCAGACTTATACTCTTTGTATTCTATTTTTTTTTTATATTTATTCTTTTTTCTTGCTGTGTTGGTTCTCTCTTTCTCTCTCTTATTTGAATTTGCTTACGTATAGGTTTTTCAAGCAAAGGTGTGTACACCCCCCCCCCTCACCAAAAAAGAATAAAATAAAAGGAAGGAAATAGAAAAGAGAGAGAAAAGAAAAGAAAAAAACAAAAAAGAGTCTATAGCGATTAAAAGAAAAAGTCTCTTCTTTTATCACTAAAGTTTGAATTGTATTCCCTTTTTCTTTTCTTTTTTATTCTCTTTCTCTCTAAGGTGTATAGAGGATTGTATATAACAACTATATATCCTCTCTGCGTGTTCATATCACTGCATATTAATATAAATAGAAATAAATAGTATATATATATATATATATATATATATTGATTGATTGATTAACCGTCGTCCCGTGAAAGTCATTTCATTAAATCAAAAATGCAGGCGGTGGTGCAGCAGATCCACCGGGCCAATATGAAGGCCATGCTATTAAGTAGAGTGAACCTCATCTTCATTATTGTCAACTGCTGTATGATGCTCATTCTTATTGTTACTTGGGCTGTCTCTATTGCAAAGGAGGGCGGCGGTGTTCTCTCACGATATGCCGCGTGTATTATCGCCTTTATTTTGTTGGGACTCGCCACCCTTCTCTCCGCATTGGTGTACCGCATGCAACCCAAACTCTCTCTCTACTATGCACATGAGATGATTTCCATCCTCACACTTATCATGACGGCCATCTCAATGGGAATGAATGATGTGGTGGTGAATCTCTGCCATGATAAGCGGCAACTCGCCAACACACAGTGCGGCTCACACGTAGCGGAACTCGTCGCGGAGGTTCTTATTTGTGTTTCTATGGGATTTAATTACGCCTCCACCCAACAACGCATTGTAACCTTTATTGATAAGGGAATATTGGATGGCATCAAGGGACGCTCGAACGGTATGACACAGCTGCCGTAGACACCGTTCACACTCAAATCACAGTCCATAAACAAAGAGAAAAAAGAAATAAAGGAAAAGAATAAAACAAAAGAAAAGAAAAAAAAAATTAATAAAGAGTCTTACTTCGAAAAAGGAGGTGTATATATATATATATA